CGGCACACTAAAACTCTCGTATTATGTTTTAGTAAAGTTTAATAAACTATAAAAACTCCCACTTTTTACACAAAGTCTCACATGTTCGTTGTTTTTCCCGATACTCAGGTCGCCCGCGAACAGGCTTGTTACCCACAGGTAACCCAATACCCCTATCTATAATATGTTCGTTCAAAAAGACCTTCTATCTTAATTGTGCTTTGCATTGTAGAATAATGCTGCAGAGTATATTCTTTTGTATATAATCGGAATGTATCAAAGTAACTATTGAATACATACACAATACAAAATTATACACCATTACGAGATTATGACTGAGTCAAACGTCTCATGGTCTGGGTTAGGGTTTGCATCAAATTGTGTGGTTCCGGGAAGATCCATACTTCCCCCACGAAGGAAATTTCGGCCGTCCGGAGGGGGAGGGAAGAAAAAATTGTTTCTGATAATAGTAAATGTATTAGGACATCCAAAGGGGGTAGGGGGGTTAACTTCCTATTTCCTCCGTGGGGGCGGTATGGATGTTTTCTGGAATGACCCATTCCCACCTGTGCAGAATAAATCTCTGGTTAAATTTGGGATATTCTATGATGATTGACTGATACATAATAATACATGGCATTAAACACTTCCATAATTTATATATATACTTGTGTATGTACAATAGCCTGTGTGGCAGGCCCTCAAATTTATGGGGGGCCTGATTTGCAGCGGGCAGAATCCTCCCCCGGAGCCCGCCAAAATTCTGCCCGCTGCAAATCAGGCCCCCCATAAATTTGAGGGCCTGCCACGCAGGCTATATGTACAAAAGACCTGTAAACATTGTTTTGATTTTGCACAAAAAAGGTTATGCACATGATTTGCCTGCCAAAATGTGCACATGCTATTTTGAATGCAGCTTAATTGTAATAGCACGCATTGATCATGTCGCAAGACTATTCAAGAGTTATGTCCGCGCATAGTACTGATAGTGCACACTGGTAGTGTAAATTTGCTATCAATATTGTGCACTATAAGTATAAATATGCGCGAAATAGTGATCTAGTGTAAATTTGCCTGGCACATACTGGCAGGGAAATTTACATTAATTTGTAAACAAGGCCGTCAATATAACGATTAACGATTATAACCATGACAGAATAAGGATATATATTCCTAGTCTATGATCATGTAAACAAAGAAAATATTACTCACCTAAACACACTTTACAAAAATTATGAAAGCAAGCCAAGCTTCGTGGTTCCTGTAGAGTTTCCAAACACATGCAACATGTGAGTAGTTCGTTGATTTCATCAACAGGAACACTTTCTGATGAAGCACTTGCCATTTCAATTAAATCTTTCTTACTTCACAATTTAGATAACATATTTGTGTCTTCTTTCCAACGAAATGATCGCAAATAAAAATCTTTGTGAAAGTGTTGGATTCCTTGAAAATTGCAAAATTCGAAGAATTCGCCCTAGCCCGCGATCAGGCTGGGATGACCAGATAAAGCATTGTAAAATTGATGTCGCAAAATAAAATGGTCATTTCCAGTAAATTCAATACTCTGAAACTAAAAAAAGTACTCCATCTTATTTCACACTTCATTTAGTAACCCACTGAGCGGCAACGCTCCCAAATGTTAGAAATGATCCGATTTTATTATTTTACCTTGTCCAACGCCAGATGATTTTACCCGTCGAGGTCTTGCGCATTAATTAATATGGGTTAACATTAACGTCAGGACATTTAAGTTTGTAAAGTGCAGACCTCTCAACTTTGCAGAGAAGTTAAGAGTGAGATTGGGGATGTGGATGACACCGGAAGGAAAAAATTAGGGGGCCGAAAAGAAATTTGCCCGACTTTTCGGGATTGTGTCTGACTAGTACCGAAAAAAATTTTTCCGGAAAAATTATTTCGGCGACCTTCCCCCCCCCCACCCACACCCCCCCCCGTCGCCAAAAAAATTTCGGTCAGTGTACCATTTTAGGGGTCAAAAAAATTTTCCGGACAACCAATATTTTTCCGAACATACTCAAAATTTTCGAAAAATCACAAAATTTGCCAAAAAATTGACTTAATTTTAGACAAAATTTACAGAATTTGTCACATTTTTTTTATTGCAAGCCAAAATTGCCCGACTGTTGATCGAATATTGCCCGACTGCCCAAAACGCCTATGCAGATATACCAAAATTTTTATGCGTTAGATTTACTAAACGTGGCGTGAGAGAGAGCGTAAGACCAGGGGCGTAGGAACCGGGGGGGGGCAGGGGGGCCATGGCCCCCCCAAGTTTTGGCAAGTGCCCTTTTTACAGAAGCAAAGTGCCCTTTTTGTGCCTGAAAAATTTTCATAAAATTCGTAGTTTTTGTCCAAACGAAACTTTTGAAAACCGTAATGTAGGTTTTTTCCTGAAAAATGTTTTAGTTTCCGATAAAAATATCATATATTTGTTTTTCCGGAAAAAATTTTTAGTATTTAAGGAAAGATATGGTATGTCCGGAAAAATTTTTTACCCCTAAAATGGTACACTGACCGAAATTTTTTTTGAGCCAAAAATTTTTTTTGGCCAAAAATTTTTTTTGAGATGCCCTTTTTTTTTTGAAAGTGCCCCTCAAAGCCTGGCCCCCCAACTTTTCTAAGCTTCCTACGCCCCTGCGTAAGACTGAAGCGAATTGCGTGAGACTCACGCCGAATGCGTGAGAATTGAGAGGTCTGGCGTGAGAGCGTGAGACTGAAGCGAATTGCGTGAGACTCACGCCGAATGCGTGAGAGTTGAGAGGTCTGAAAGTGATGCATTGTCTGCCATGTATAAATAGGCAATTCCAGCTTTCAGAGTTTATGCATGCAGGACCGGAGATGGGAAGTAAGGTATCATATTGCTGATTATGCTGAAAAAATAAAAATAGCTTATACTTGTAAATATTGAAATATTTCGGTTGTCTCGGCAGTTTTTATTGAACTTAATTTTTCAGCATAATACCATAATCAGCAATATGATACCTTACTTCCCGTCAGCCCCTGCGCGCATAAATTAAAAGCTGGAATCGCCTATTAAGAATGTATATTTACATGGAAGTAGGGTTATTGTAATGTTCAGTTAATAAGTAACCCGCATAAAGGCGGGAAACAGACATCAGCTGGGTCACGTGAGAATGGACACATGAAGCAGGACACTAGGAATGTTATTGAATAGCACGGATATAGTTTTAAGTTCATAGTATTTAAGAGTTATATCAGTCTAAGCAAAAAGATACAACTTTATATTGGCGACGAGGATAAAAACAAACTTGTTCAAATGGCTACTAGTTTATTCCAAGCGCCTCCTATTGCTCCATTCAACGTTGAAGACCCCAATAATATTGGCATTCGCTGGGAGCGATGGACGAAGCGCCTCGAGACATACATCACCGCTACAGGGCTTACTGAGGACAAACAGAAACGTTCCTTGCTTTTATTTTGTGCTGGAGAAGCTGTTCATGAAATATTCGATAATCTCCCTGACTCAGAGGAAGCCAAAGACTACAAAACTGGTTTAAAACTTCTCACCGATTATTTTTCGCCGAAGAAAAATAAAACATTTGAAATATACAAATTTCGCCAAGCTCAGCAACTGGATAGCGAAAGCGTTGACAAGTTTTATACCCGTCTCCGACAATTAGCATCTACGTGTGAATTTACTAATACTGATGATGAAATTCGATCTCAGATAATTCAACGATGTTCATCAAAGAAATTACGAGAGAATTCCCTGCGAGATGACAACATGACACTTGCAAAACTACTCGAACACGCTCGCGCTCTAGAAAATTCAACAAAACAAGCTTTGGATATGGAAAAAGGCATGGACAATTCAACACAAGAGCTTGCTACCTTACGTATAAACGAAGATGAAAATCGGCGAAATGAGTCACACAACACAACACGTCATGATACTAGAAGTCGTTCTTCATTCGACAACAAGTCGCCCGAGTTTTCTCGCCAAAACAACACTGATCGCCGAATCAACGACAACCGGTCCATGTCGAAGTGCTATAACTGTGGCAACTCTTGGCCGCATGTTAATGCACCTTGTCCAGCAAAAGGGAAACAGTGCAATAATTGTAATCGTCTAGGACATTTTGCCAAGGTTTGTCGTTCGACAAAACAAACAAATTCTCGCCGTCGCGACAGAAAGCACGTCCGAAATATTGACTACCAACAACAACGTAGATCAGAGACCTCAAGCTCTGAATCTGATGAATATCTTTACTCGGTGCAAAGCGAACAAACCGCACCAAGCAAGCCTACAAAATCCGAAAACCCAGAAGTAAATCGCGTGACATTACCTCAAGCGAGGATTCAAATAAACAATGTAAATTCCCTGTTCATGACTGACACTGGTGCTTCGATCAATGTTATTGATGAAAATGCATTTTCCAGGCTGCAGAATAATACCAAGCGTAATTCAATCAGACTAAAGAAGCCAAAAACCCAAGTTTATGCATATGGTAGTACAACCCCATTGTGGTAGTACATATGGTAGTACAACCCCCCACAAAGAGTACCATGGTTCTCTCCTTAGCTACAAAACTGCACAAGAACTTGATCTCATCAGACTTGATGTTAGCTCAATCAACACAACAACCGATGACTTGCATTCAAAAGACCAATCTACTTCACAGCGCTCTAAGTCAACTCCACCTTCCACGAAGTTCAAACCCAAATGCTTGACAACCACCACCTCTGCCAATACCCATGTTCTCGTAAAACAGTAAGAACACCTCTTCCAGGGTGTTTGCAAGATGCGTGGTGTTGAAATAAAGCTCCACATCGATCCTAATGTTCCACCTATTGCACAACCAGAGAGAAGAATCCCTTTCCACCTGAGAAACAAGGTTGCCGAAGAATTAAAGCGACTTGAGGAAAATGATATTATCGAAGATGCAACTGGCCCAACACCATGAGTGAGCCCAATCGTTGCTGCACTAAGACCGAAAAATCCCAACGAAGTTCGTGTGTATGTAGACATGCGGCTTCCCAATCGTGCCATCCATCGCGAACGACACCCTTCACCTACTGTTGATGACATCATTCACTCACTTAATGGTGCCAAAAAATTCAGCAAGCTCGATCTACGATCTGGATACCATCAACTCGTCCTTGCGCCAGAATCAAGACACATCACAACCTTTGCTACTCACAAGGGACTAAAACGATACAAGCGATTAAATTTTGGCACTTCATCAGCTGCTGAAATTTTTCAACACACCATACAGCATGCCCTTGAAGGAATAAATGGAGTTTTGAACATTAGTGATGACATTATCATTTTTGGCAAAACAACAGCAGAACATGATAAAGCCCTGAAGGAAATTTTTCAGCGCCTGAGCGACAAAGGACTAACTCTGAATCCTGACAAGTGTGTCTTTGACAAGGAAAATTTTGATTTTTTTGGCTATACGTTCGGTCCAGCTGGCATGAAACCTGATCCAAAAAAAGTCCTAGCAATACAAGATGCCACCCCACCAACCAACACAGCAGAACTGCGTAGTTTCCTCGGTACAGTTAACTATGTCTCCCGTTTTATCTATGACTTCTCCACCATCACAGCCCCACTTCGTGCTCTGACTCGCCACGGAACCAAATGGCAATGGACAAAACAACATCAGCATGCTTTTGACGAGTTAAAACGTCGCCTCACAACTAGTCCTACAATGGCCTATTTCGATCCTGCCAAGGACACTGAGCTTGTTGTCGATGCCAGCCCTGTGGGCCTGGGTGCCATTTTAACCCAGAAAACTAGTGACAGTGGGACAAATATTGTGGCATATGCTAGTCGCTCTCTGTCGCCTGTCGAACAAAGATATTCACAAACTGAGCGTGAGGCTCTAGCCTGTGTATGGGGATGTGAAAAATTCCATCTTTATGTATATGGTGCACCATTCACACTGATCACTGACCATAAGCCACTCATCCACATCTTCAACAACCCGAAAGCGAAGCCTCCTGCTCGACTCGAACGTTGGAATCTTAGATTACAACCTTACAATTTCACAGTTCGCTATGAACCTGGCAAAACTAATCCTGCCGACTACATATCTCGCCATCCATTACAAAACCAACCGTTGCGCGAGCGTAACATTGCAGAAGAATATGTGTCACTTCTGACAACATCCGCAGTTCCAATTGCAATGACACTAGCTGAAATCCAGGATGCCACATTAAAGGATCCAACACTACAAAAGCTTGCTGAAATTATTCGCTCCCAACAATGGCACTCAGTCCTCGATACAGATCATTCCTGTCCTAATGACAAAGACAAGTACAATTTAAGAGATCTCAAAGCTTTCCACAAAATTCGTCACGAGTTGACTGTTACTACAAACAATGATATTATCCTCAGAGGTTCTCGCATTGTGATGCCCACTACCCTGCGCCACTGAGCTCTTGAACTAGCCCATGAAGGACATCAAGGGCTTATCAAGACAAAACGATTACTTCGCGAAAAGATATGGTTCCCTCGCATTGATCAACAAGCAGGAGAAATGATAAAGCACTGCCTTCCTTGCCAAGCTGCAAATCCTGAAAGCAAGTTAGAACCGCTTAAAATGTCACCCCTACCATTGGGCCCCTGGCAAAATGTTGCTGCAGATTTCTATGGCCCACTCCCCACTGGACAAACCTTCATGGTTGTTATTGATCAATATTCGCGTTTCGTAGAAGTTGAAATCGTCTCCTCCACCTCTGCTGCAGCTGCTATACCCAAACTTGACAAAATTTTTGCAACCCACGGCATCCCAGACCTGTTAAAAACCGACAACGGTCCACCATTTACCAGCCACGCGTTCAAAGTCTTTGCCACAGAACTGGGTTTTAAACACCGGAAGATCACACCGTTATGGCCAAAGGCCAATGCAGAGGCTGAACGTTTCATGCGTACCCTGGGAAAAGCTATTCGCACTGCACGAACTGAAAAAAAAAATGGGAGAAAGATTTTTCCACACCTCATTCGAGCACAGGAAAATCACCAGCCGAGTTACTGATGGGTCGCCAGATCAAAATCAAACTCCCTGAAATGCCCACCTTACACCCCACTCAACCTGCAATCACCAATAAGGATTCTGCTGCTAAACGCAAGATGAAATACCATGCAGACAAACGAAGTTATGGTAAACCAAATAAATTCTCTGTTGGAGATCTAGTTCTACCCAGACAGGAAAAGAAGAACAAATTTACCACACCATTCCGAGCTGAACCGTATCGAATCACCGAAATAAACGGGTCCATGATCACAGCGACGTCAAAAGATCAAACCATCACTCGAAACTCGTCTCATTTTAAACTTTTGCCCTCAGATATGGAATTGTCCGAACCAAGCGCGCCAAAAGAAAGAGATGAGGGAGGAGAACAGGAGAGAGAAAAAGAAAATTCCGAACTGAATGACCAAGCAGTCAACATGAACAGTCATCGATATCCTGTTAACGCCTATGATTGTTAACATTTAATGAGATTTATTTAAAATGTTGCACCAAACGGCAAATGCTTGAAAAGTTGTAGCCCTCATAAAAAACACATTCCTAAAACTACACATAGCACTAATAATAATATACATATAAATGATATAATGATATTGATGTGGTAACTATTGTTTCATTTGATCCTTCCAACTGAAGCCAAATGTAGTACATTTCTCAAAAGTGTTGATAAGTGATAACATTGAAGTGGGCTATTTTGCATATCGATCTAAGGAGGCCTACAGTATTGTTTCACTCTAACCCTTGTAGAATGCAAAGGAGCACTTCTGAAAACAATCAAATAATATATACTTATTGCGAAATTGCAATGGCAAACAAAGACTGTGACATTGTTGAGTAAATAAACAGAGTATTAATAACTATATGGAATGAAAGGTTCTAGATTCTGTGAAATTGTTTCCTGAGTTAGATGATTTAAGTTCTGCTCTCAGCCGAGGTAAAGATTGTAATTGACAGCCAAAAGGCACAGGCTCTATATCGTTTAATTTGCTTATAAAACATTTCATCAGCTAAGTTAGAATGATGTAGATACGAATAAAAAACAACAGAATATTGTAACATCTAAATCAACAAATACAGTTGCAATATTCCTGTTATCCAACCACATTATCATTGATGCATGACCAAGTTTAAAGGATCATGAAAAATGAAAATTTTCCACAAATACTGTAAACATTTTCCAGATTATTCAACAGTAAGCTGATACCTTTCTCCCATCAGCCTAAAGGTGCTTTATTTATGGTACAAAGCTAACAATGCCTGTGAAACCTTGTAAGCCATTGTGTGGTGAATGATTTGACAGGTAATTGAAATTTTATATTTGTCTGCCCAACAAAAAATCAGTTTATATTAATAAAAATATTGACATGTAATTGGCATACAATAATTGTATAACTTTTCAACTTTTTCAAGTAATATTGTCTTACCATTTCACAATACAGTTAACGTCATCAATAGCCTAGCATTTAATGCTTTCTCTTATTATACATATTAGATATTACAATTTCTTGGGGTTTTGGTTCTACGTACACATCATTCGATCTAAGTAAGTGAAACGCTTCATATAAAAGCGAAAGGAAATATAAACTGATATCTCGACTGACAGCGGATTTTTCTGATCCCGTTGGCTGAGAAATAAAACAATCGTTAACTCTAAGCAGATTTGATAGTGCCTCAATCTGGTGTTCACTTAAATTGTTCAACATTAAAACGATTTCACAGAACCTATAGCCTTTCTTTCCATAGTTAAAATATTTATCTGCCTATATTCGCCATGGCAAATTTGTATTCTCCATTTTTGCAATACACCCGTGCTTCCCCCCTGCTAATTTTATTGTTATGACATCACCGGACAGGATTCTGTCCGGTGAATATTAATGAGTGCCGAGATTTACAAGTCTCTCTCGTTCTCCGTTTCAAGTTCAAAACTGATCTCATAATAAACTGGATATACCCTATCGAAACCCATTCGAGAGAGACTTGGGGCAAGCCTAATTACCGTCCTACATACTAATTTTTTGTGTGTTTTGTTAATGAATTTTTGAGAAACCGTTAAAAATAGTTCTTTTGAAACACCAACTGACAGGACACCAGTATATTTAATTAATTTTTTATTACCTTCAAACTTTTGTCCAATATTTATATCCCAATCGTATTTTTATCCCACCTTTTTCTCTGGAATTAATTCTTTCGGAAAACTTACATTTAAACTAGCTAGCATAAAAACTATTAAACATTAATTAATCTATCTCTCATGCTAAAACTGATTTGAACAAATGTTATTGAGAGGTTTCCAAACAACCCAACATGTATATTGTAATCAGTTTTTGATGCGAGTTCGGCAGCAATTTTGTACAATTTTATATTACTTTGCCTTAATTAAGGCTGTAAAGGAAAAATAACTTGTAGTTGTATGAGATTTATTACTAGAGTGTATATCGGTAAATAAATACTTCTCAAAATTACTACCAGTTCATTCGTACGAAATTTTTTACCATGGAATCATAGTGGCGATATACAGAGCTAATATCCCATGTGTCCTGTTAGTGCATTTGTAAAAAATAGCTAATTAAATTACAATTCTCGTTTATGATAGAACGAAACACCACTGGCATGCAGGACACAATATGTTTATAAGTTAACATTTCAATTTGTTTTATTCTTGTAGAAAGTAGAATCAGTCCATCAATTCGCCCTTCCTCAACAAGTGAGTATAATATAAAAATATTTTAATTTCTAAACTTCGTCCTACTCTGGGTTCGGCTGCCTGAATTCGTTTTTCCCATCACTTTCACTCCCGTTTCATGGCAATTGTCTTTTCCTTTGATTTTTATATCTTCTTCTACGCATGTGGTTCATAATCTTCTTCGGTCTTCACCATCGTCCGGCCACCTCTCTCTCTGAAACTCCAATTCCAAATCTGCAGTCTCGATAATTCCGTGAACTCCGTATACGTATCCATACATGCTTCACCCATCTTCTTACAATGTTTGCAAGCATATATCCATAAAATGTTAACCTTTTACTAATGATCAAAAGGGCTCAGCTCATCAGGAAATCATGCTTCACTATTGGGGCAGGCAAAGTGCCTACTGGGGAAAATGCCCTTGTAGTTATATAGTTAAAAAAATGCACTGTCAGTGCATCAATTCAACATTTGTTAACAAGTAAGTATAAGTATGGGGCTTCGGTGGCGCAGTTGTAAGAGTAAGCGCCTTTCACCTCTGAGATCGTGGGTTTGGTTCTCGCTTCGTACTCAGGTGAAAAGAATCTGTCAAGGTTCTGCCGTAAGTCGTGGATTTTCTCTGGGTGCGCCGGTTTCCTCCCACAGCAGAAGCTGACAGGGTGGGTTAGGATAAACAGATCTCAAATGTTGTAAAGATAAATAGTCTAGGTTTGGTAAGTAACATGAGCGTAATACTTGATGTAATCGGTCAATGAAAAGCCCCAGTTGGGGAGTGAGCTGAATAATGTAATAATGTAATGGAAGGGTATTTTAGCGAATTTCTTGTATGCTTTTTGATGAACTTGATGAGATGCTAGTCGTCGTCTTCATGCACAAATAAACTTTAATATGCTAATATGCAGTAAGGGGAGCGCTAATATAGGATTTACTGTTATTGCGAACAAACAGACTGTAAGACTATCGATTATTAGATTCTCAAAATTGATCAAAAGGCAGGAATGCACATAATTGCAATAACGAGGAAATCCTTTTGCTTGTAGATTCATAAGAATCTTGAGTAACCACGCATGTTATATTAATTTTATTCAGCAACACGGTCTGTTTGTCAATATTGGCAATTCGGATGTGATAATGGTTACGAATGTGTGGATCGATATTATCTTTGTGATGGATGGAGTGATTGCTCTGACGGTAGTGATGAATGGTATTGGAACTGCGGTATGTTCTAATTTTACTATCAAATTTTGCAGAGAGGAACAAATGATCTCATTTGACAGAGACAGATTTTTATAAAAGTTAAATTGTTGATTTATAATTGTTATAGCAAGTTCAACCAGTGCATCAATTCAACCTTCTTCAACAGGTGAGTTTAATGCAAGCATCTTTAATAATCTCTTCTTTGGTATTTTACGAGTTGTTAATTAATTGTCCACTGTCGGTTTTCCATCTGTTCTTCAACGTCCACGTTCATATGTTCCAGCTCCGTAATGTTTCTGCATGAACGTCTCCATCTTCTCTTGTCGGTTCTTCCCCCCTTCCCCAATGTTTTTAGAGTGTAGTTTTAGGTCTGTTCAAAGCGGATAAAGAATTGGGGAGGGGATTGATAATTGTAAGCAGACAGTGTTGGATATCTTGCGTACATCTACTCACAAAATTTCATCAACTTTGTTCTTAAATCTATATGTGACTATATGTCGTGCAGTAAATTAAATTGTCAAGTATTAAAGGTTATTTTTTAAGCTGACTTTTAGATGAGGGAATGTTGAAAATTAATGTGAGAGGACATGAGAAAGCAGGAAGTTGCAGCTTTTTCAAGAAGGTTAACATTTTACTGATGATCAAAAGGGCCCAGCTCATCTGAAAATCATGCTTCTCTACTGGAGCAAGCAAAGGGCCTATTGGGGTAAATGCCCCTGTAGTTATATAGTTAAAAAAAATGCCCTGTCTGTGCATCAATTCAACATTTGTTAGCAAGTAAGTATAAGTATGGGGTTTTGCTGGCGCAGTTGTAAGAGTAAGTGCCTTTCACATCTGAGATCCTGGGTTTGGTTCTCGCTTCGTACTCATGTGAAAAGAGTCTGTCAAGGTTCTGCCGTAAGTCGTGGGTTTTTTCCGAGTGCGCTGGTTTTCTCCCACAGCACAAGCTGACAGGGTGGGTGAGGATAAACAGATCTCAATTGTTGTAAAGATAAATAGTCTAGGTTAAGTCAGTAACATGAGCGTAATACTTGATGTAATCAGTCACTGAAAATCCCCAGAATAGGAGTGAGCTGAATAATGTAATAATGTAATGAAGGGAATTTTAGTGAATTTCTTGTGTGCTTTTTGATGAATTTCATGAGTTGCTAGTCGTCGTCATCACAAGTAAACTTTAATCTGCTAATATACAGTAAAGGAAGCGTTAATGTAGGATTTACTGTTATTAGGAACAAACAGGCTGTAAGACTATAGAATATTAGATTCTCAAAATTGATTAACAGGTAGCAATGGACATAATTGCAATAACGAGGAAATCCTTTTGCTTGTAGATTCATAAGAATCTTGATTAACCACGCATGTTATATTAATTTTATTCAGCAACACGGTCTGTTTGTCAATATTGGCAATTCGGATGTGATAATGGTTACGAATGTGTGCATCGATCTTATCTTTGTGATGGAAGGAATCATTGCTCTGATGGTAGTGATGAATGGTATTGGAACTGCGGTATGTTCTAATTTTACTATCAAATTTTGCAGAGAGGAACAAGTTATAATTATCTCATTTGACAGAGACAGATTTTTTCAAAAGTTAAATTGTTGATTTATAATTGTTATAGCAAGTTCAACCAGTTCATCAATTCAACCTTCGGCAACAGGCAAGTTTAATGCAAGCATCTTTAATAATCTCTTCTTTAGTATTTTATGAGCTGTTAATTGTCCACTCTCGGTTATCCATCTGTTCTTCAACGTCCACGTTCATATGTTCCAGCTCCGTAATATTTCTGAACGTCTCCATCTTCGTAATGTTTCCGAACGTCTCTATCTTCTCTTCGTCGGTTCTTCCCCCCTTCCCCAATGTTTTTAGAGTGTAGTTTTAGGTCTGTTTAAAGCGGATAAAGAATTGGGGAGGGGGTTGATCATTGTAAGCAGACAGTGTTGGGCCCGATCTTGCACGCATCTACTCACAGAATTTCATCAACTTTGTTCTTAAAGCCATATGTGACTCTATGTCTCGCACTAAATTAAATTGTCAAGTATTAAAGGTTATATTTTAAGCTGACTTTTATATGAAGGAATGTTGAAAATTAATGTGAGAGGACATGAGAAAGCAGGAAGTTGCAGCTTTTTCAAGAAGGTTAACCTTTTACTGATGATCAAAAGGGCCCAGCTCATCTTAAAATCATGCTTCTCTACTGGAGCAAGCAAAGGGCATATTGGGGTAAATGCCCCTGTAGTTATATAGTTAAAAAAAATGCCCTGTCTGTGTATCAATTCAACATTTGTTACCAAGTAAGCATAAGTATGGGGTTTCGCTGGCGCAGTTGTAAGAGTAAATGCCTTTCACATCTGAGGTCGTGGGTTTGATTCTCGCTTCGTACTCATGTGAAAAAAATCTGTCAAGGTTCTGCCGTAAGTCGTGGGTTTTCTCTGGATGCGCCGGTTTTCTCCCACAGCACAAGCTGACAGGGTGGGTTAGGATAAACAGATCTCAATTGTTGTAAAGATAAATAGTCTATGTTAAGTAAGTAAGATGAGCGTAATACTTGATGTAGTCAGTCACTGAAAAGCCCCAGAATGGGAGTGAGCTGAATAATGTAATAATGTAATGGAAAGGTATTTTAGTGAATTTCTTGTGTGCTTTTTTGATGAACTTCATGAGTTGCTGGTCGTCGTCATCACAAGTAAACTTTAATCTGCTAATATACAGTAAGGGGAGCGTTAATGTAGGATATGCTGTTATTAGGAACAAACAGGCTGTATAAGACTATAGAATAATAGATTCTCAAAATTGATTAACAGGTAGGAATGGACATAATTTCAATAACGAGGAAATCCTTTTGCTTGCAGATTCATAAGAATCTTGAGTAACCACGCATGTTATATTAATTTTATTCAGCAACACGGTCTGTTTGTCAATATTGGCAGTTCGGATGTGATAATGGTTACGAATGTGTGCATCGATCTTATCTTTGTGATGGAAGGAATCATTGCTCTGATGGTAGTGATGAATGGTATTGGAACTGCGGTATGTTCTAATTTTGCTATCAAATTTTGTAGACAGGAACGAGTTATAATTATCTCATTTGACACAGACAGATTTTTTCAAAATTTAAATTGTCAATTTATAATTGTTATAGCACGTTCAAGCAGTGCATCAATTCAACCTTCGTCAACAGGTAAGTTTAATGCAAGCATCTTTAATAATCTCTTTTTTAGTATTTTATGGGCTGTTAATTGTCCACTCTCGGTTATCCATCTGTTCTTCAACGTTTCACGTTCATATGTTCCAGCTCCGTAATGTTTCTGAACGTCTCCATCTTCTCTTCGTGGGTTCTTCCCCCTTTCCCCAATGTTTTTAGAGTGTAGTTTTAGGTCTGTTCAAAGCGGATAAAGAATTGGAGAGAGGGTTGATAATTGTAAGCAGACAGTGTTGGGTATCTTGCACGCATCTACTCACAGAATTTCATCAACTTTGTTCTTAAGCCATATGTGACTATATGTCTCGCACTAAATTAAATTGTCAAGTATTAAAGGTTATATTTTAAGCTGACTTTTATATGAGGGAATGTTGAAAATTAATGTGAGAGGACATGAGAAAGCAGGAAGTTGCAGCTTTTTCAAGAAGGTTAACCTTTTACTGATGATCAAAAGGGCCCAGCTCATCTGAAAATCATGCTTCACTACTGGAGCAAGCAAAGGGCCTATTGGGGTAAATGCCCCTGTAGTTATACAGTTAAAAATATGCCCTGTCTGTGCATCAATTCAACATTTGTTAGCAAGTAAGTATAAGTATGGGGTTTCGCTGGCGCAGTTGTAAGAGTAAGTGCCTTTCACATCTGAGATCGTGGGTTTGGTTCTCGCTTCGTACTCATGTGAAAAGAGTCTGTCAAGGTTCTGCCGTAAGTCGTGGGTTTTCTTTGGGTGCGCCGGTTTTCTCCCACAGCACAAGCTGACAGGGTGGGTTAGGATAAACAGATCTCAATTGTTGTAAAGATAAATAGTCTAGGTTAAAAGTAAGTAAGATGAGCGTAATACTTGATGTAATCGATCACTGAAAAGCCCCAGAAGGGGAGTGAGCTGAATAATAATGTAATAATGTAGTGGAAGAGTATTTTAGTGAATTTCTTGTGTGCTTTTTGATAAACTTCATGAATTGCTAGTGGCGTCGTCTTCACAAGTAAACGTTAATCTGCTAATTAATATACAGTAAGGAGAGCGTTAATATAGGATTTACTGTTATTAGGAACAAACAGGCAGTAAGGCTATAGATTATTAGATTCTCAAAATTAATTAATAGGCAGAATGGAGAAAATTGCAATAACGAGGAAATCCTTTTGCTTGTAGATTCATAAGAATCTTGAGTAACCACGCATATTATTAGGGGTGGAAAAATTTTTTTTCTTTCTGGGAACCTGAGTCGAAGGATAGAAATTTTTGTGTAAAATTTGTAATGTTACAATTACAAAAATAACAAAACAAATGCATAATTATTGTACTATTTGTACTTTAATAATGGGCTTTAGGCTGGTTTTCGTACGCTTGTGCATCACAATAGTTGTCTGTTATATACCACAGTTATGAGTTGTGACCAACTAGTAAGGATCTTGATTTTTTCTGTGTTGGTGTTATGTACTAAGGTGAATATGATGTTTGTGATGTTACTCTGAGTGTATATCCACACCGGGCAAACTTGAAAAGTATGCCTGGCCATGATAGGAATCGAACCTATGACATTTGGATTACTAACCCAATGTTCTGCTAACTGAGCTACGCAGTCAGGTCAGTTCGAGTATGTGATATTTCGGAACTGAGTTTAGTTCCTTCGACATGAATGTTATCTAGTATTCCAAAGGTCGTATAGGTTCGATTCCCACCGTGGCCAGGCATATTTTTCAAGCTTGCCCGGTGTGGATACACACTCAGAGAAACATCACAGACATCATATTCACCTGAGTACACAACACAAACATATCACATACTCGAACCGATCTGACCGCGTAGCTCAGCTGGCAGAGCATTGGGCTAGTATTCCAAAGGTCGTAGGTTCGATTCCCACCGTGGCCAGGCATATTTTTCAAGCTTGCCCGGTGACACTCAGAATAACATCACAAACATCATAGACTATTCATAGTAAGGATCTAACGCTTAACTAAATGTCCTGTCATCTTATTTTTTCCATCACTTTTATCAACCTCGTACCCAGGTTGGGGCGTGCGAAGGTAAGAGCCTGGGTACGAGGTTGCACTTTTATTTGTTTACTATTTAATTTGAATTTTATTGGAGACTTTGCAGAGCATATATTTACCATTTTACCAGTCATTGTGATGGCAGGGGTGGGTAAAAGAATTAATTTCTTTCAAATATTTAAAAGCTGCTGATGTTAGCGTGTACAGTGTAAATAAAGTAGAATAGTTGTAACTTGTAAGTTGAGTAAACAGAGTTATCTCAAAATGTTGAAATATTTTCTGGAAAATTTTCTGCAAAACTCTCAACTCAAAAAAATTTCTGGGAACTAGGTTCCCAGGTTCCGATACTTTTTCCACCCAGCATATTATATTAATTTTATTCAGCAACACGGTCTGTTTGTCAATATTGGCAATTCGGATGTGATAATGGTTACGAATGTGTGGATCGATATTATCTTTGTGATGGAAGGAATCATTGCTCTGATGGTAGTGATGAATGGTATTGGAACTGCGGTATGTTCTAATTTTACTATCAAATTTTGCAGAGAGAAACAAGCTATCTCGGAGACAGATTTTTATAAAGGTTAAATTGTTTATTTATTGTTATAGCAAGTTCAACCAGTGCATCAATTCAACCTTCGTTAACAAGTGAGTTTAATGCAAGCATCTTTAATATTTTCTTGTTTGGTATTTTATGAGCTGGTAATTGTCCACTGTCGGTTTTTCATCTGCATGTTCTTCAATGTCCACGTCCAGCTCCGTAATGTATCTGAACGTCTCCATCTTCTCTTCGTCGGAATTGTCGGTCCTTCCCCAATGTTTTTAGAGTGTAGTTTTAGGTCTGTTCAAAGGAGATAAAGAATTGGGGTGGGGGGTGATAATTGTAAGCATCCAGTGTAATTGGATATCTTGCGCGCATCTACTCACAGAATTTCGTCAACTTTGTTCTTAAAGCTATATGTTACTATATGTCTCCCACTAAATTAAGTTGTCAAGTATTAAAGGCTATATTATTTTCAAGACCTTTACATTTTCTCCAAGTATCTCCACAATGCAGGAAATGTTATTTCAGAGGCCCAAAATTCTGTTTTTTCCGGGGAACATTCCCCCGTACCCCCATAAAATCGTGATTATTAAGTTGCCCCCTTGAAAGAAAATTCTTGCGGCACCACTGAACTAACAGTCATTTATTGTAGTTAGTATTTGGTGTGAGTTACAGAAATTTTGTATATTTACACTATTACTTTGCCTTATGTCTATAAAAGCGAATAACTTGTATGAAAGGTATGGAATTTATTGCGGTGCTGCACAACGATACAGAGCTAAATAAATGCATGTAATTTGTGTTTTGTTCATGAATTTTTGTGAAATCGTTAGTTATAGTTCTCTTATGATACATATTTTCGTAACACTAATGACAGGACATCAATAGTTCTATCAATGTATTTAGATAAGGATTCTCAATTGTTTTATTCTTATAGCAAGTCGAATCAGTGCATCAATTCAACCTTCGTCAAGAAGTAAGTAGAATGTAATATTATTTTAATAAAATTCGTGCGTGCTATTTGATGAACTTCATTAAGTTTAGTCGTTCTCCTGTTTGCAAGTGAATCTCATCCTGCTAATATAGAGCAAGACACTTTCTGCCATTATAATTGCAGGCTGATCCGGGTTTGGCTGCCCGGATTCGTTTATTCCATCCTTTTCTCTTCCTTGTCATGTGCACCGGCAGTTCGTTGACATTTAGATCTTTTTTTAAATGTTTATTCATCTCGTGTTCTCATAGTCATCTTATTCGTATAGTGTGTGTGACCAGCCTTCCCTTATCACTTCTGACTACGTGTTCATTCTATCTCAGCCTTGCATTCTTGACTTTCTCTATACAATGTGTACCATTCCACATCTTCTATATATTCATTCTACACCTTTTCCTTTGCGAAATATTGGATAGTAACTCCTTTAATACAGTATTGTTACAACTGGAAGTTCCAATGTAGAGATAAGTCAATGTGTTGATCGATACTTGTTGTGTGATGGTGGTTATGACTGTTATGATTATGATGGAGGAAATGAGGACTCGTTTAGCTGCCCAAACAACAAGTTCTTTTTATTCCTTCGGGGTGTCAGCCAATCTAATGGTAGTGGTTTGGGGTAGGCTTTTAACCGGATGTTAAAACTACCCATCGAGAAATACCGTTTGTGTGACAACCTTCTTAATTGTAGATGGAGTAAAAAATATGTTGCTTGAAATCGTTTGTCATCTGGTCATAATTCGAAATATGTCGAAACGCATACCAATTATCCCAAAGCTTGTGGATTACTTTTTCAACATTTGCTTAGGCTTCAATGGTTTCCGCGGATTAAAAAGTTCCGCTTCAACTTCAAAACTGGCCGTCCATAGGACGGTTGGACTTGGATGTCTTCGTTTGCGTTTGCGCCATTTAAAATAATGCATATATATAATTCGACGAAATTGCATTGCATGATTAGATATCTAATGTTCTATGGCTATTTTGCAAAACAAGTACGTATTGCATCATGTATCAGGTCCATTAAACACAACACAATATCCACGTGTAGTAAGTTGGTTAACTGCTAGAGTTCTTGTGAGTTGTGTTCCGGCGGGTTGGAGCCTTAAATTGCTGGAGAACAGAACAGCAGAATTGTATGTGAATTATAAAGACAGCTTCATAGTTAAGACTCGACTCGATATGTCAGCGAATTTAAGACTATCCTGGGCTGGCGACTTTGATCGTTTGAAGGAGTTTGTAAAGAGTGACCTAGAGTTGCAGGGAAGCTGGTCATCCCCGGCGAACGAAAAGAAACTTTTCGTGTCAGACAACGTTGAGCTGCTTTGGTGGAAAAACAAAAAGTTCCTAAAGATCAATGGAGAGGATGCAAATCGAATCAAACGTTGTATGATCAACGCTATGTTTACGAGTTTAAACCTCGATAGTATCAAGTCTGGTGTGGACATGGCTACTAACACCGAGAACTCCTTAAACGAAAATCAACCAACAAAACACCAGTGTACGGGTTGTGAATGTTCGAAGCTATCACCAGACTTGGAGGGTTTGAAATTAGACTTGGTTGTTTTGGAATCGAAACTCAACCATAAAATCCAAGCCGTGGAAAACCAAATATTACGCATGAACGATTGCCGACCAAAAGAGCCGAAAAATTATGCAAATCTCGAAAATATGTTGACAACCTCTACACCCATTAGCAGCGGCGGCACGAACAAAACAAAAGAGGTTAGTAATTCAAATCCTTACATTAATCCCGTTGTTGTTCGGACCGCTAACGATGCATGCTTCACACCAATAAAAGTACCGGATAACACAGAAACTTTTACTCACTCACAAGAGGAATTAACCCTGACAAAGGTAGTTTTCCCTGTTAGGAACAATAGTGAACAGTCGAAAATAGGCGAGCTTTCCCATACGGGAAGCCGTATAAATCCTATTCAAAAAGAACAAAGCTGTCATTATAATGTTCCTGGTAGGCAATCTTGCTCTAGTTATTTACATGATCGTGGTCAACAATTTCGAAGCATTCCAGTACGTATCACTCACCGTCCACTGCCAGTGAACCCAGAGAAAGTAAATAAACATAGACGTGCGTACCGGAGTCAGGTTTTTCGACATCGACATCAGACGGACTGGCTCAGGCATCTGGAGCTGGTCCGCAAAGTAATTCGGTCATAAACTGTTTCTATTCTAACCTAACTGTTGTGCCTACGGTCCCTTCTACTTCTAAATGTGAACTTACAAACTTATTTGATTTTTCCCTTCTTAATGCCAGATCGGTTAGAAACAAGACTATGATTATTAAAGATTTTGTTGTGGATAAAGATACTGATATTCTTGCTTTGACGGAAACTTGGCTCCCTCCATGTGGGAACGATTTGATTATTGGGGATCTATGCCCAACAGGTTATAGTTTTCTGCATACACCGAGACATGGATCAATCGGTGGGGCGTTGGTCTCTTATTCAAGGAAAGTCTTAATATTAAGCGTATTAATAGGAGGTATTTAGGTCATTTGAATACCTTGACAGTTCTTTTTTGAACTTTCTACATATTAGAATTATTGTTGTATATCGGCCGCCTCCTTCATCGGCTAACTCATTGACATCTACTCTATTCTTTGAAGAGTTCTCATCCTTTTTGGAAGGAATTATTGTATCACCTGGGCAACTCTTGATAGCTGGAGATTTCAATTTTCATCTGGACAATCCTAATGACCCTCTTACCAAACGGTTCGTGGATCTTCTCGCTTCCTTTGATTTGAAGCAGTACATTTCTGGATCAACACATGCAAGTGGTCACACACTGGATTTAATTATAACGCGATCTGAAGAAAACATTGTTAACCATTACAATATCTTCGATCCTCTGATTTCTGATCATTCAGTTGTGCATTTACAACTATTGATTAGGAAATCGAAGTTTGTGAAGAAACATTTGCTTCTTCGTAATTTGCGGGCGGTTAATATTCATAAATTTAAAACGGATGTACTAAATTCTTTTCTTCTTAAGAATTTTACGACTATGGATTTGGTATCATTGGTGTATGAGTATGATTGTCTTCATACTATCTTAGATAACCATGCACCGATTAAATCCCGGGAAATTACATTGCGCCCTAAGGCACCCTGGTATACTAACGAAATCAATGATAAGAAACGAATTCGGAGACAACTTGAGAAAAAATGGCATAAAACAAGGACGAATGCTGATTGGAATCGCTATAAACAACAATGTTATGCTGTAAATAAACTTATCGACTCCTCAAAATCGGCTTACTATACCGACTTAATTAATAATGGATCATCTGATCAAAAAACCCTTTTCAAGACTGTAAGCAATTTGCTGCATACAAATACGATTATTCGCTATCCATCTTCTCCTGACCCAATGTCACTTGCCAACTCATTTAGTGATTTCTTCACTCAGAAAATTGTTAAAAGACGAGGTGATATCGAAGATGAACTCTTGAGTAAAAACATAGAAAATCCTATACCTGATGCTGATTCATGTCCTTATGAATTTCACACCTTCAGGGAGGTTGGAAAAGACGAAGTGCTCCATTTAATCCAACGTATCGCAACTAAATCCTGTTCTCTGGATCCACTCCCGGTAGTCATGCTAAATCACTGTTTTAAAGACATCTTACCCGTTGTAGTTAGAATAATCAACCTCTCCTTGGAAAGTGGTACAATGCCTGACTCTTTGAAGATTGCTGTTGTTCAACCGCTATTAAAAAAGTACAATCTTTCCTATGAAGAATTCTGCAGTTTTCGTCCAATATCAAATCTGAAATTTGTCTCTCGAAATCTATTGAGAAAGCAGTTGCTGTACAATTAACTGATTATCTTACTGAAAATCATCTACATGAGAAATTCCAGTCTGCTTATAAACCTTGTCATAGTACTGAAACAGCGCTATTGAGGGTTCAAAATGATATCCTTCAAGCTCTAGATAACAGTGATTCTGTTATTCTTGTCCTACTGGATCTGTCGGCGGCTTTTGACACCGTGGATCATTTAATGTTATTAACAAGACTATCGAAACGCTTTGGCATAAGGGGTCGTGTGTTGGATTGGCTTACCTCATACCTTACATCCAGGAAACTGTTTATGCGTGTTGAGGGAACTGATTCGTTATTGAGTGATCTTGATTGTGGTGTACCTCAGGGATCTGTGTTGGGTCCTCTGTTGTATTCACTCTATACTGCCCCTCTCGCGGATGTGGCTAGGCGCCACAATCTGCGCTTTCACTTTTTTCTGATGATGGGCAACTTTACATTGCATTCAAAACGAATGATCGTGATGATTTAATATCATCTAAGATCCGTATGGAGAAATGTATACTTGAATTGGGAAACTGGTTGATGTTGAATAAATTGAAACTAAATAGTGGCAAAACGGAGCTTATATTAGTCCATTCACGCTATCATCTGATGCTTCCCTTAAATTATATCATGGTGGGAAAGGAAAAAATTGTGCCAACTGTTTCAGCAAGAAATCTGGGGGTGATTTTTGATGAGTGGATCAGATTGGGCGAACATATTAATGGTATCTGCAAGTCAGCTTACTACCATATTAGGAATATTTCAAGAATTAAGAAGTATCTACCTCGAAATTGCTTAGAAATAATTATTCATGCATTTATAACTTCAAGACTGGATTATTGTGACTCCCTGTTGTATGGTGTACCCAAATATTTGCTTCAGAAGCTTCAGAGAGTCCAAAATACTGCAGCTCGTTTACTAACTGATACTAAGAAATCGGCGCATATCACCCCAGTTCTTATCGAATTGCATTGGTTACCTGTCCAATACCGTATTCAATTCAAGATTATACTTCTTGTCTATAAAGTTGTTAATGATCTTGCTCCATCGTATCTGAAGGAACTTATGCTGTGTCGTACTTCGCAGCGTACTCTTCGATCAAATGGAAATGAATTGCTCCAGATTCCTTATTCTAGACTAAAGACATACGGAGACAGATCGTGCTGTGTTGCTGGACCAAGATTGTGGAATGATTTACCTGTTCATCTTCGGATGTGTGAATCATTAACCATTTTTAAGAAGTTTCTTAAAACATATCTTTTTAACTTGTTTTTAAATAGTGTATGATGTATTCTATTGTTTTAACATTCTTAACACTAGTTTTAAGATTGGATTTTGTATTACTGTAAAGCGCCTAGAACAGTCTTGGTTTGTGCGCTATATAAATGTTTATTATTATTATTATTATTAACATAAGAATATATAGAATAGCATCCATTATCGTAATAACAAAACGCATGTAAGATATAAATACCGGTACTAAACCACTAAACCATTCATATGTAATATGCACCTGAAGAACTTTGAACAAAGTGAAAACGTTAGTGCAAAAACAAAATGAATGGTCAAATCTTCAGTTGTCAGACCACAAACATTTTTCTATATCTCTCAACTTGTGTTCAAATATATATATATATATATATATATATATATATATATATATATATATATATATATATATATATATATATATATATATATATATATATATATACATATATTGTGATCATGCCTCGTTCTTCAAAAATCACTCTGCAAGTATATTTTAATGGCATTGAGCGATTGCGCGTATACAGTTTGGCATTGCTAGCTTCACTGAAGCTTGTATATCTTTATATTTACCGAGTGCTCCTTTATATATCAGTTAAACACTTGTATGGTGATAAAATCCTAAATAAACCATATAAACCTTCACCGACGTCCTTGATTGAATAATGGCCCATTTACTGATTTTGTTAGCTTAAAATATTAAGAATATTAGCATGCATGCAACCAACATGCATAGTGTAAAAAACGCGATAAGCCGGCGGGAATTTGGTTTATGAGTATATGCATGCGTGCATCAGTGTTACAGTGATCCGCTTACAACGAGAAAACCTATATACGTATATGCCTATATACGTATCGTCATCGCTGCAGGATTGTCATAAAGTATTGGGAAATCCTGCATTAATCAATTAATAAAATCAATTGTAAAATATATGCTTTTTAAAAATATAAAACCAATTTAACACTCAAATCCGGAACGGTAACAAGTATTAATGTAATGAAACACAAAGCAAAGGCTTATATAGTCACCTTAGTGCGTTTCTGTTGCTTTCTTTTAAACAACTTCCTATTCCGTATTATCACATATATTATTTTCCAAGCAGTATAAACAATAGGTTTTTTACCACAAACCTATCATATTAACATTGGTCATTGGGAATTGTAATTTAATATAACACAAATAGGATTTTTTTATCAGAAAATATATGCCTTCATCTTAGCTTGAATCAAGCGTATTTTAATTAATGACTTAAAGTGCTTTCCAAATTGATCCGAAATATCCAACTTATTTGATTGCTCTTCCTTTTGACTTTTTTTATCATGTTTTCCAACTTATCTTGCGAATTATTTACCGCATCGTATTGCTTTGTGACATCATCACATGGTGTCTTAAATTTCACCACTTCCTTTCTATGCCCTTCCTGTATGTTGTCATTTTTTCACATTTACTTTCGCGTCAACATGATACTCGGTTACACCGTGCTTGCTGAATATGCTCACTTTTTACGATCATATACAAGATTTCCAACAACTATAGGTATTGTGTTGCCTAAATAAATGGCTAAGAATTTTCACGGATTTAACGAGTCGTACGAATCTCGTGAAGTTCACCACTTGGCTGGTGCACTCTTAAGTCCTTCACGACTCGTGAAACATTCCTTACAAGTTGTCACGCGAGTCGTGAAATTTCACGGATTTAACGAGTCGTACGAATTTCGTGAGGTTCACCACTTGGCTGGTGCACCCTTAAGTCTTTCACCACTCGTGAAACGTTCTTTACAAGTTGTCAAGAGTCGTGAAATTTCACGGATTTAACGAGTCGTACGAATTTCGTGAGGTTCACCACTTGGCTGGTGCACATTTAACTCATTCACGACTCGTGAAACATTCCTTACAAGTTGTAACGAGTCGTGAAATTTCACGGATTTAACGAGTCGTACGAATTTCGTGAAGTTGACCGCTTAGCTCCTGCACTCTTAAGTCCTTCACGACTCGTGAATCATTCATTACAAGTTGTAACGAGTCGTGAAATTTCACGGATTTAACGAGTCGTACGAATTTCGTGAGGTTCACCACTTTGCTGGTGCACATTTAACTCATTCACGACTCGTGAATCATTCCTTACAAGTTGTAACGAGTCGTGAAATTTCACGGATTTAACGAGTCGTACGAATTTCGTCAGGTTCACCACTTGCCTCGTGCACTCTTAAGTCCTTCACCACTCGTGAAACGTTCTTTACAAGTTGTCACGAGTCGTGAAATTTCACGGATTTAACGAGTCGTACGAATTTCGTGAGGTTCACCACTTGGCTGGGTGCACTCTTAAGTCCTTCACCACTCGTGAAACATTCCTTACAAGTTGTAACGAGTCGTGAAATTTCACGGATTTAACGAGTCGTACGAATTTCGTGAGTTCACCACTTGGCTGGGTGCACTCTTAAGTCCTTCACGACTCGTGAAATATTCCTTACAAGTTGTAACGAGTCGTGAAATGCTGCTGTATTGGACAACCATCAACATGCCTTGTCAGAATTAGCGGAAATGTTTTCTATATTCATTTGGTCACTTATCACTAAAAGAGTGGAGCGATCTTTGACATCGTCAAGGACAAGGTCACGCTGGCAAATATTTATTTGGCTGTTTTACAGTATATATATTTCTGCGCATCTAAAGTTCGCTGATCATACAAAATTTTCAAAAGTTTTGATTTAAAGAAAATCGCACGCCTATCATGGACGTAATAGTCAATTGTTTGAAGAATAATAATATTATTTCAAAATTTTTGTAAAGGATAGAACGTAACTTTACACTGAAAATTTAGGAAAAGCTTTAAGGTTTAAATTATATAGGGATTCTTATGCTAATTTTCGCGCAAAAATCATACGGTTGGCACTGCTTTATTTTTTATCACGACGAGCCAGCAAATATATTATTGTTTAATACAATAAATATTATAAATGCTTTCATGAATACAGTCACCGTATAGTGAACCCCTTTTAATATTCCACGTTTTTCTTTAATAATTGCATTTCTTTCTCCATATATCAAAAATGTGCTAAATAACCAAATCCAACATTTTCATCTCCCACCCTAATTCATATTCTACCACTGGCAAACAAAACAAGTTTACTAACAGTTATTATCTCTGTATTCGGCTTTTGTGCTAAACCAAGAATCGCGTTTCATGCATTAAATAAAGGCTTTTTTAAAGTCAATTTACTCACTCATTTATTAGTCATTACTGGTTCATTTCAAAAATTAAACGAGTTCATAAGATACGGCTAAACCTCACAACACCACCCGACATGAACCACTTACAAACTCACGTGACTATATGCTAAGAGCCATTCAGTATAAATCTACCATATTTTGCCACTTGACACAGGTGATAGGCATTTTCTAGCACCTGTTCCTACATCACACAGGTGGGGTAAGCACCTGCTAGCATGCAGTTTCTACCACTACAACCTTGGACATATCTTTGAAACCATTCCAACCAATATTGAAAAGTTAATCCACATTGACAAAAAAGCTCGTCACACCATCTTGTTCAGCCCCATGCTGTGAACAGGGCCAAAACACCTTTCCGTAATTTATTATAACACAAGCTCAACATTATGTTGGCGGAAGGGAGGCTTAAGAAACACAACACAATTTACATAGATTCATGATAAGTTATATGCGGTTTTTGTACAGAGAGAGATAGTCTCAACCAGTTGTGTCCAAGATTGCTGCACCATTTATA